ATAGAAAAAAAAACTATCAAAAAAAAAAAAAAAAAACCTCAAGGTCACCCATGCATAAATGTGAGAGAGTCAGTCAGAATTTGAACCCAGATTTGGGTTCCACCAGTGCTGCCCAGTGCCCCCAGGCCAATTCATAACTCACCCAGTTCATAAGCAATTGCTAAAGGGCAGCTGGTGAAACTCCTAATGGCACAAGGACATGGACTGAGCTCAGAAATTAAATGTTTCTCTGAAAAATTCTCTCTTTGCTGGCTGTGTGACATTTTATCAAGAACCTTGACCTCACCGAGTCTGTGTCCTTGACCATAAAAAGAAAAAACAATCAATTCAGGGACCAACTGGGCCCACATGGGAAGGTCCCTTGTTCATTTCCCGAAGCCTCCCTGTACATGCCGGGCGTGTGTGCACACCATGTGGGGGGAATGGCAGTGTGAAGAGCCTGTTGGGGGTATCTGTCTATCCCTGTCTTAGTCTCTGTCATGGAGAAATAAATCTTTTTTAAAAAGGAAAAAAGTAATTTAAAAACATTAAATGAACAGGGGCCAGCTAGGTGGCATGGTGGTTAAGGCACTGGGCTCCCACATGGCTGGCTGTATAGTTTTGAGTCCCAGACCTGGTGTCTTGAAAACCATACATGTGTGTATATGCCCAAAATCCTGAGAGGAGAATGGAGGAGAAGGGACTATGGTGTGGTCCTCCCCCTGAAGGGTGATTTCTCACTTTTCCTGTCTGTCTCTCTGTCTCTCTCCAGAGGGCATACAAGCCCTAGAGCAAAAGAAGAAGAAAGAGAGAGGGAGGGAGAGAGAGGAAGGAAGGAAGGAAGGAAGGAAGGAAGGGAGGGAGGGAGGGAGGGAGAGAGAGAAAGAAAAAAAGAAAGAAAGAAAGGAAGGAAGGAAGGAAGGAAGGAAGGAAGGAAGGAAGGAAGAAAGAAAGAAAGAAAGAAAGAAAGAAAAGAAGAAAGAAAGAAAGAAAGAAAGAAAGAAAGGAAAGAAAGAAAGAAAGAAAGAAAGAAAGAAAGAAAGAAAGAAAGAAAGAAAGAGAAAGAAAGAAAGAAAGAAAGACATTTTATCGAGCACCCAGTGTACGGTCAGGCATTGGACTCAGTGCTCTACATGGATTAATCCATTTCATCTTCTTGACAAGCCTCTGTGTAGGAGCCGTTATCCTCTTTTCACAGACAAGGAACATCTTTCCAGGCCAGACAGTCGCAATCCCAGGGGAGTCCCACGGTGGCCTAAGCAGACCCAGCTCTCTCTCTCTCCACCCCCAGAAAGCCCCACTAGGCTCCTTCTCTTTGCCCATTCATATGGGCACGCCTGACCAACTTCTCCTTGCCAGGACTCCCAAGAGCACAAGATCTGCCTGTTCGAAGGTGCCAACTTCAAGGGCAACACCATGGAGATCCAGGAGGACGATGTGCCCAGTCTCTGGGTCTACGGCTTCTGTGACCGCGTGGGCAGCGTGAGGGTGTCCAGTGGAACGTAAGCATGCTCTGGGGCTCCATCCCTGCTCTGAACGCAGACAGCCTTGGAAGGCTGCCCCCTTACGCGATAGGAATCAGATTTCTAGGAAAGGCCTCGGCCCCTCCCACAGTTCTCCCAGCACTAGTGCAGGGAGCCTTATTCCTCCCGGAGCAGAGCTGGACACTGCCGCCTTCCATGCCTGTGGGAACAGGTGTGGTCGCTGGTTCTAAGAAGCTGGAAGATGGAGGAACTAGAGCTTCTAAACCCCGACTGGGGTAGGAGTAAGCCGAGAGGGGTCAGAGCTGATGCAGAGAGATGAGTCTGGGCAAAGAAAATGTTCAGAGAAACGGGGAGCCTCTGAGAAAATGAACAGAATGAGTTCTGAACTGCGGATTTGAATAAGAGAACCCCAACCCTGGAACTGACATACTAGGAAACCTGGGTGAGCCATGCCCCTCCCCGCATCTTGATATTGTCAGCTATACAGTGGACACACCAGACTCCCTAATACACAAGGGCCTCTTCTGTTCTGGACTCCCAGAACGTGAAGCCTTTAAAACAGAAGCCTGTGACACTTTCTTCCCCTTGTCCATGGGGGCACTGGGAAAGCCAGGTGTCCCAGGAGGTCAATTCGGCATCTCCCTGCCTCCAAATAACTATGCTTGGCCTCCGTTAGGCAAATATAAGGCTTCTGTCTCTACTGCCCAGAGCTCCTGTAATACCATCGGGGCCCTGACCTTTTTATTGTTCTCCCCTCAACCTTGTACCCTTGCCATTCAAGCCACCTGAAATATACTGAGCTTTGTCTGCGAGTCAGGCACTGCGCTAGGCATTCTGGGAAAGGCAGAGAAGAATACAGTCATCATTTATAACGGCTTCAAAGAGCTTACTCAGCCTAAAGGGAAGCCCGAGGTACTGGTGAGAAAAGGTCCAATAACACTAGGTAAGAGATGGTCTAGACATGATGTTGGTGCTTCTGGAGGCCAGAGGAGGAAGGAAATTTCTGGGACCTGGGTCTGTGCACTGCAGGAATAGCAGGTCAGAGGTTTATCCGAAATGGAACTTAAACCAGGCTTTGAAAGATGGTCAGGAGGTCTGGGAGAGGCCGGAAATGCCAGGCAATGACAGAAGTTAAAAATGAATTACCAGACCAGCAGGTGGCATAACAGTTACATCTCTGGACACCCATAGGGCTAACCACGGTTCAAGTTCTGGACCTGGTGGCTTGAAGATCATGGCAGGGGTGCGTGCGCACATGCGTGTGTGTGTGATCCTGGGAAGAGGATGGAGGAGAAGGGATTGCAGCATGGCCACCCCTGGGGCGGGTGATTTCTCATTTCCCTCTCACTGTCTCTGTCTCTCTCCAGTGAGGGCATGTACCCTAAGGCAAAAACCTCTTTTAAAAAATTTACCAGGGCCAGTTCTATAGCCAGGCAGTTAAGACAGCCAGATCCCACATGGCTGATCATGCAGTCAAAATAATGACCCCAGCAGCATGAAAAACATGCTTGGTATGTGTGTGGAAGTGCCCCAGATCCCAACAAAGTGGAGAAAGGGAGGAGAAGGGATTGTGGTGTGACCATGAGCTCTTTCTCTCTCTCCCTTTTCTTTGCTCTCTAGCAAATACACATGCCCTCTGGCAAAAAAGAGAGAGGGACCAGCAGTTGGCATAATGGCTATATCATTGGACTCCCATGTAGTCGACTGTGGTTCAAGTCCTAGACCCGGTGGCTTAAATTCATGCTGGGGGCGTGTGTGTGTGCCCAAGATCCCGAGAGGAGAACGGAGGAGAAGGGATTGCGGTATGGCCACCCCCTGGGGGGGGGGGGCGATTTCTCGCTTTCTGTCTCTCTGGCGAGTGCACGCACCCTATAGCAAAAACCTCTCCAAAAAAAAGAGAGAGAGAGAGAGAAGAAAAGAATCATCAGTAATAATTTCTGTGAGTGTTTAATGAGTACTGAGCACTATGCCAACCACTTTCAAGGAGTAGCTATTGTGTCTTCATAAGAACCGAAGAAACGAGTGCATTATCATCCCCCCATTTCAAAGACCGTAAACTGAGGTTCTGACAACTCAGCTGCCTAGATGCTCACAGCTGATACGTGGCAGAGCTAGGATTTGAACCCACACGTGTCTGGTACCAGAATGCGTGTTCGCAAGCACTACCCACCAGCTTCCTCACATACAGAGGAAACCTGTGTTCTGAAACAAGGGTTCTTTCCCCTTATTTGCGTCACTGCTCACCAGTCACCCAGCCCTGTCCTTGTTTCCGTTGATTCTGTCCTTCTCTGAGCCCCAGGCCAGCCCCTCCAATGGCGAAGGCAGTGTGTATTAATGTCCTTACTCCGTGCAAGCCACAGGCTGAGCACACACTTTTAGTGCATTTCCCCATGTGCTCCCAAGACACCTGTAATAAACCAGCCACTGTGGCCATGCCCACTTTATTTATTTATTTATTTTGGGAGAGATTTTTGCTACAGAGCGTATGCGCTTGCCAGAGACAGAGAGAGACAGAGAGACAGAAAGCAAGAAATCACCCCCCAGGCGGGATGGCCACGTTGCAATCCCTTCTCCTCCATTCTCCTCTTGGGATCTTGGGCACACATGCACACATGCATGGCATGAGTTTAAGCTACCTGTTCCAGGACTTGAACCACAGTTGACTACATGGGAGTTCAGTGACATAGTCATTACGCTAACTGCTGGTCCCTGCCCACATTATGTTTTAAACAACTAATTTTTATTTAACATTGTTTTTATTTATTTATCTATTTAAAATTTGACCAGAGTGAGAGAGGGAGGGAAAGTGACAAAGCAAGCTGCCAGGTCTAGGACTTGAACTGTGGCCGACCATATGGGAGTCCATCACCCTTAACTACCACACCACCTGCTGGTCCCCCTATTTTAAAAAAATAATGATTTTATTTGACTTTATTTATTCATTTATTTGAATTTGACCAGAGAGGGACAGAGAGAGAGAGAGAAAGTGAGAAAGCAAGCTGCCGGGTCCGGGACTCAAACCATGGGCACTCATGTGGGAGTCCAGCACCCTTAACCACCACGCCACCTGCCGGCCCCCATGCCCACTTTCTAGAAGTGGAAACTGAGGTCTGTCAGAGTGGCAAAGACCTTGCCTGAGAGTACACAGGAGGCAGGACAAGGCCAGAACAGCGGAGCCCCGGGTTATGCAAGCCCGAATACCCAGAGGTGGAAGGAGATGAAAAGCAGACTGCAGAGCTCCATGCAGGGTGGGCTGGTCTAGGTGGGGGCAAGCGCCGGTGGGGTCTCCACGCTGTCCTTCTTGCTTTCCTCCCAGCTGGGTCGGCTATCAGTACCCCGGCTACCGTGGGTACCAGTACCTCCTGGAGCCTGGCGACTTCCGGCACTGGAATGAGTGGGGGGCCTTCCAGCCACAGATGCAGGCCGTGCGCCGCCTGCGTGACAGGCAGTGGCACCGCGAAGGCTGCTTCCCTGTCCTGGCTGCAGAGCCGCCCAAGTGAGTCCACATTCGCTTCCGCTCCCTTGCCCTGCCCCTTCCCTGGGCTCGGTTTCTCCATCTCTCCCAAGCAAATAAAAGTTCCTAAAGCCAAAATGTCTCCTGAGATGTGTGCCTCTGGTCCCAATTTTTAGGGGGACGCGACTTCAGTCTTAATTATGACAATAATAAAAATGGTGAACAATGGAAAGTTTGATATAGGGTCAGAGGTGGCGTGGAGGTTAAGGTGCTGGATCCATCATGTGGCTGACGACATGGTTCAAGTCCCAGAACTAGTGGTGGCTTGAAAAACACATCGGTCGTGTGTGTGGTGCGTGCATGTATGTGTGTGTGTGTGTGTGTGCGCGCATGTGCCCCAAATCCCAAGAGGATAATGGAAGAGAAGGGAATGCAGCCTGGCCATCCTCTCCAGGGGATGATTCCTCACTTTCCTTCTCTTCCTCTCACTTTTTCTCTCCAGTAAATTCACATGCTCTATTAAAAAAAATACATTTTAAAAAAGTTATTTATTGGGAACCAGCAGTTAGCGTAATGGCTATGTCGCTGGACTCGCACGTAGTCGACCGCGGTTCGCGTCTCGGACCCGGTGGCTTAAATCTCACGCCAGGTGCATGTGTGTGCGTGCCCAAGATCCCGAGAGGAGAATGGAGGAGAAGGGATTGTGGCGTGACCATCCTCCCTGGAGGGTGATTTCTTGCTTTCTGTCTCTATGGCTCTGTCTGTCTGGCGAGCGCACACGCCCTATAGTGAAAACCTCTCCAAAAAAAAAAAAGTTATTTATACACATTACATTAATATGTGGTGGTGGGGTCTTCAAAAAGTTTATGGAAAGTGAATGTTCTTTTTTTTTAGAATTATTTTATCTAACTTTATTTATTTTCTTATTTATTTTAATTTGACCAGAAGAGGGACAGAGAGAGAGGGAAAGTGAGAAGGCAAGCCACCAGGTCTGGGACTTGAACCATGGTCGGTCATGTGGGCGTCCAGTGCCCCTAACCACCACACAACCTGCCGGCCTCAAGGAAAATGAATGTTATTTAAAAAAAAAAAAGGTTGTGACCAGCAAAGAGCAAAATGGTTATGTTGTTGAACTCCACATAGTTGACCCCAGTTGAGTACTAGACCCAGTCGGTGGCTTAAAACTCACGCTGGGTATTGGGACCAGCAGATGAGATAATGGTTATATCACTGGACTCCCATGTAGTCATCTGTGGTTCACGTCCCAGACCCAGCAGCTTAAAACTCATGCTGGGTGCTTCTGCATGCATGCCCAAAATCCTGAGAGGGGATTGGAGGAGAAGGGATTATGGTGTGGCCCTGCCCAGTGTGTGTGGGGGTGATTTCTCGCTTTCTGTCTCTCTGGCAAGTGCATTGCGGTCTATACCAAAAATCTTTCTTAAAAAAAAAAAATGCATGGCTGGGCCAGCAGGTGGCATAGTGGTTAAGGCACTGGACTCCTACATGGTAAACTATGTTTGAAGTTCTGGACAAGGCGGGTTGAATCTTACCAGGCACATGTGCAAGTGAGCTCAAATCCCGAGAGGTAAATTGAGGAGAAGGGATCACAGTGTGGCCATCTCCCACAGGGGGTGATTTCTCACTTTCTGTCTCTCTGTCCCTCTATGTCTCTCCAGCGAAGGCATGTGCCCTATAGGAAAATTTTTTTTTTTCGAATAATGTTTACACCAACCAAAATAAACTCATGACCTTTTTGAAGTCCCCTCATATTTTGAAGTCCTCTTTGAAGTTGGTATTATAATGTTTCCCATTAAACATGTGAGGAAATTGAGTCTCAGAGAGGTCAAAGTGACTTGCCAAGGTCACACAGCTAGCAAGTCTAGATTTGAACTCAGGGCTTCTAACTCCAGAGTCTTCCATCTTCAATGAATCTGAGTTTTCAATTCTAGTCTTCTTATGCACCACTCTCAAGATTCTTTTTTTTTTTTTTTGGAGAGGTTTTCACTATAGGGCATGTGCACTTGCCAGACAGACAGAGACAGAAAGCGAGAAATCACCCCCCAGGGGGGATGGCCACGCCACAATCCTTTCTCCTCCATTCTCCTCTCAGGATCTCGGGCACGCCCCCACGCCCGGCGTGAGTTTTAAGTCTGGGTCCAGGACGCGAACCGCGGTCGACTATGTGGGAGTCCAGCGACATAGCCATTATGCTAACTGTTGGTCCTCAGGATTTTTTTTTTTTTTCCCTACCTGCATGCCACCTGGTCTGCTATTTACTTAATGTTTTTATTTAAATAGACATCCTATTTCATGCTTGGATGCATTGATTGGTAAATAAAACCTTACAATGCTACGGGAAGTGGAAAATCAGTATCATATATCACAGAGCAAAAGCAATCATATAAATAAGTCAAATGCTATTTAAAAAAGGGCAAGTATTGAATTCCTGGCAGACACTACCTATGGAAGGCTCTAAGCCTGAAATCTGCTTGCTCTTTGGCAAAATGAGTGATTAGCAAGCGTTAGATAAAAGTATGAAAGATGTGCTTGCACTAGCCTGAAATTTTTCCCCTTGATTTAATCAATGAAGATTGAAAAGAGTATTATTTTCTTGTGCCTGATTCATTGATATTTAATCCTGGGTCCAGGTTCCACCTAGAATCATCTTTTTGGGAAATGTCCACGAGGCACCGTTGATTCCCATATCAACAGCTAGCATCGATTGATTGTATTAACCATTAATCTGCACAGGAAGCCTGGAGGAATGAGGGTATTGCTATGGATATCTTCCTGGAGGAGAGAATATTGGAAAGGAACGTTGAAGGATGGAGCAGGAGCTTGCTTGGTGGAGAATGAGAGAGGTGATATTCTAGGCAAAGCAAACAGCAGGGCCCTTTCTATCCCATATGGCACCTTGGTACCAATGATAAAAAGATGCCTCTTCCTCAAGTCGTTTTACAGCCACCCGCCAGAAATGACTGGTACAGATCTGTGATGTCTATTAACGTGAACGTGACCGTCTTGTGCTGTACCCAACATGCACAACTGTACTTGGCATCCCTTGGTGTCTCTGTCACTCAGCAAAGACACCAAAGGGATGAGAGAGCTTGGGCCCAGCAAATCTGATTGAGCTGGGAGTAGTAGCTAGGTCGCTGTATTGGCAGAAGAGGGGGGCTGGGAAGGGGATGCTGATTGTGGCAAGAGATAAAGCTGTCAAGAAAGGTGGGGCCTGATGACACCCACTCTGTGGTTTTTCTGAGCTCCAAAATCGAGGCACCACCTCCATAGCCCTCCGTGGGTCTTATTCTCTGAAATACTCACTTTCTCTCGACTCTCTACTCTCGCTAGTAACAGCCACCTCCACTTCCAGTTTGCTCAGTATCTTGAACTAGAAGGCAGGGTTGCCTGGAGCCCAGGATTCCTGGGCAGAATCAGGAAAGAGGAGCATTCACCCTGTTAGAAGCCAGAGAAAAACTGGACCAATTGTTTCCACTCCCTGGGAGTTCGTTCCTTCTGAAAGCTGAGAGTACAGATGTTCATCCAGCCAAGATTCCCGGGGGCCAGAGTTCCAAGGTCCTCTAAGATTCAGTAATTCACCTCTAAGTTTCTATGATCCTCTGGTGGCAAAGTCAAACTACATGGGTTCCCACCCTAAGTTCCTAAGAACTGGGAGAGCAGCTCTAAAATTCTACCAAGTGGTGTCAAACCTTGCCATGACACAGGTCACCTGACATTACCTTTCATATTTCTTCAACTCTTTGCTCTTATGGATGGTAAGCTGCACCACAATTCTATGGTCTGAGAAAGGAAAAGGAAAATTGTGGCTTATTTATTAAAATATAACATAATAACTATCTTTTTTTATTTTAATTTTTAGATTTTTGCCATGGGGCATATAGGCTTGCTGGAAAGAGAGACAGTGTGCAGGAAAATGAGAAACCATGCCCCACCAGGGGGAATGGCCATGCCACAAGCTCTTCTCCTCTATCCTCCTCTCAGGATTTTGGGCATATATGCGCACATGCCTGGTGATTTTCAAGCCACCGGGTCCAGGACTTAAAGTGTGGTCAGCCATGTGAGAGTCCAGCACCTTAACCACTATACCACCTACTGGCCCCCACAATTGGTATCTTTTTAAAAATTATGTGCGCATGTGCACGTGTGTATGATATTTTCAACAAGGTCTCACTATGTCATGATTCTACTGCCTCAGCCTCCACAGTAGCTGTGACAACAGGTGTGAGCCACAGCCCATTTTTTAGGGTGGGCTGGAATTTAACCCTAGCCTCTCATTTGGCCTGGGCCTACCGAGCAGCAGTGTCTAGGTATAGCATGCATCATTGTGGCTGGGCCCACAATTGCTTTCTGGCCATTCAAAAGTTTTACTTTCTACTTACTGATAAAATTATGAGGGCCCAGACAGTGGTGCAGCAGTAAAATGTGACACCCTATGAAGCCAACCTACACAGAAAGGTTCCAGGTTGTATCCAGAGAACTCACTGAGGATACCATGTATATGTGCGCCTGTGGTCAGGGGCTGAGGCAGGGAGTGGATCAAGGCAACAAGATGCTCTTGGGAGTATTGTCTTTCTATTTCTCTCTTTGTCTCTATCACTCAGGGAAGAAGTAAACAAATAAGCCTTTTAAAAAGTTCAAAGAGGGACCAGCAGTTGGTGTAATGGCTATGTTGCTGGACTCCCATGTAGTCGACCACAGTTTGATTCCCAGACCCAGTGGCTTAAACTCATGCCAGGCACGTGTGCATGCGTGCCCACGATCCCAAGAGGAGAATGGAGAAGGGATTGTGGTGTGACCATCCCCCTGGGAGGTGATTTCTCACTTTCTGTCCCTCTGTCTCTCTCTGTCTTTCTGGTGAGCACACGTGCCCTATAGCAAAAACCTCTCAAAAAAAAAAAAAAAAAGGTTCATAGAAAATGGATATACTATGTGTGGATCTTATTATTATTACTTTTTTTTGGCACTGAAATAAACTAGTACTTTCATTTTCCAAAAGCTTTTTAAAGTCCCCTCATACTTTGGACTTACTGAGACATAACAGGATTTTTTTTTCCCACCAGTGGATCAATCTGGTAGCTCCTAAAAAAAGAAAACAGCAGAAATTCATTAAAG